TTGAACTGAGAAAAAGGAAATAGCATGTGTCTTCTTTTTAGCCTTGTAATGTCCAGTTGCTAGAAAAAAAAATCTCTGCTCAACAACTGATTGTGTTGTCACATCTCTCCTTATAACAGTGATTTCTAAAACCTCTTGGTTTGTCTCTGTGTCTGTGTCTTACATATCTGCTCGTCATGTGCAATTTTGAAATTGAAACTTTACTATTTCTCAGACAATGATGGTTTACTAACCTCTTTATAGAAGTAGAGATGTAAATGAATCCACTCTCTGTGTTTGAAAATTTTAAACTAAAGTGCAGTTGTTTGCTTCAGCTTGTCAATGGATATTTATGAGGGGAGCATAATCCTACAACAGTTATAGCAGTGAAATACATCCTGTACAGATAGCTAGTAAAGGAGCTCACAAGTGTTAATGCTGTTGGAATGTTAATGCTCAAGAGATGGGAGTCATGGCAGTTGCTCTGGTTAATGCTGCTCATATTGACCACAGTAAAAATGAGAGAGTGAAACCAATTTTAAAATTCTGCAACACAGCTAGGATCTCATTACCTTAACCTACAGCAGACATCAGTTCCTACCATTGTCTTTTTCCCATTCTTCTGTTAATTCATTGTGAGTAGTATTGTAACATCAGATATTTTTCTTGGGGTATCTCCATCTCTTCCTACTTATTGCTTGGCCCAACACATGTTGGCCCAGCAACAATTTCATTGAAAATATTAGTAGATTTTTTGCTCTAAAATATACTAATTATTACCTGAAAAATCCTGTAAGTAAAGAAAAAGGCTATAAACTGTGATTTTGAGTTTAGCCTTGTCAATGCTAGGATTTAATTTGTGATTTGTATGTTTGTTGCATTTCTTCTTTATTATAATAGTGAGATTTCTTTGAAATATCTATTGGGAATAATAATACATTTCCAGCTTGTAAGAAATCATACTGTATTTGCTTTTCCTGGAAACCAAAGAAAACATAGTTCTCTCTTTAAAGCTACAGTATTTATTCTTATAGAAGAACTTTTGAGCATAATGTTTCAACAGTTTGACATGGTTACATTCTATGTTTATGTTATCTATGTTAACTTAATTCAGGTTAAATTAACAAATCATCGTTTGACATTAGCTATCTGCAGACTATTTTCTTATGTTCTGCCTTAGTGAAAAAGGCAGCATACAAAAGAAGTACACTTGATGTGGCGCCTGTGTAAGGCAGAGATTGGGGGAGACTTTAAAGGTTAAAATGAATTTTGATATTCATTATGGTTGAAAAAGTTGAGAACTAAAACTAAATCTGTAATAATTTATATTTCCTTATACCTAGTTTATTTCCAAAGAAATACTGAGAGAAAAAAACATCAGAGTAATAAAACTGGAGGAATAATAATAGTCAAAGTCAAAGCACAGCCATCTGAGAAAATGTACTCTGAGGAAAACAAAAACGCTACTAAAACATGTTACAAAGATGAGATTCTTGCAAGCCACTGCATCAAGATGAAACTGTTCAGTTGCATAGTTGCTGTTATATATAAAAAAGGAAGCATATGAGTTTACTAATAGTAATAAGCTTTTTCCCAGCTCTGAAATGTATCTGAATTCATCCCTTTGTATCAGTGTCATCAATAGAATTTTTCCAAAATGCAAGATACTCTTTATATGACCAAAAGCCATATAAGCTCTTCCTATCACAAAAAGTTAAAGGGATGATAATTCATTGTCCTAGATTTATGAACACATTTATAAGAAAGGTAAAGAAATCAAGATAAGATATATAAAGTTTACTGGTGATTTGAGTTAAGGTAGGCATGTAAATATCTAGATTAATAGGTATGAAGTGGTGCTTTTATCAGAAAATGTTACAGAGCACTTAATTACAGCTCTAAAAGGTTGATGTCAGTAGAGCTCCTTGTTTAAATCAGGGTTTTGAGATAAGCACTTTTTCTACCTGTCCCCTTCTTGTGTTTCATCCTAGCCATGGTGATCTGTAAGTCACCTGTGAACCTTCATACACTACAGTAAAAAGTACCCCTGACTTATAGAAGTAACTGTCTAGAACTTCACTTAACAGTTTCTTTTCTTGGTCAGTTTCTCTTCCTTGAAACAAAATACCAGACACCCACCATTGAAGGAGAGCTTTAGCTTGGCTCATGTTTTCAGTTCGTAGTTTGCATGGTGGAAGGGTGTGAGTGAACAAAAGCGACTCAGTCATGTCAGTCACAAAGCAGAGACAGAAAGAAAGAACTAGGCAGGAGGTGCACCCTTCAAAACCATGGCCCAGTGACTGGCCACTTCCAACTAGGCTCCACAGCTATAGTGCCCCCATAATCAAATCGTATTCCAAAAACTGCACCTACAATGGGATGAGGCTTTTGGGGGAAATTTTTGATATAAAACATAACATTCCCTCTCAAAACTGTGTTTTCAGTTGATCTGGTGAGAAACATGCCTGGCCAGGCGTGGTGATACACATCTGTACTCCCAGCATTTGAGAGCTGACACAGGAGGATTGTTGAAGTTCAAGAACAGCCTGAGCCACAAAGGGAGCTCACTGCTATTCTGAACTGTGTGAAGAGATCCTGTCTCAAAAAGACAGAGGGGCGGGCACCTGAGGGATGTGTATTCTACATTGTTAATTAAGCTAGAGAAAGATGTGCTCTGATACAGGATGTGAGGTTAGAAGATTTGAACATTCAAGAGCTTTCCTATGTGCTACTCTAGATGTAGCACATGTAGGCTGTACATGTCTGCCTGTAGATACTCGCACATGTATACAGAAACATATTTTAAAAATTAGCTGTATGTGACCTTACCAAAAGTACAAGCAGCCATTTCACTGAAACTTATAGAATTTTGCTACATAAGATATTTGAATTATCACAATTTCTAAACTTCTTTACATGTTTCTGGCTATAAACTAAAGTCCACAGAACCCATTCATTCCGTCTATACTTCATTTCTTTCTTTTCTTTTCCTTTTCCTTCCCCTCCTCTCTTCTCTCTTCTTCCCTTCCCTTCCCTCACCTCCCCACCTCTCCCTGTGTCCCTCCCCTCCCCTTCCCATGCCTTCTTTTCTCTCCCCTCCCCTGACCACCGCTCCTCCCTTCTCTTCCCTTCCCTTCTTTTGCTTTCTTTTCTTTTTTGTCGCTTTCTCTCCTCTCCCTCCCTCCCTCCCTCCCTCCCTCCCTCTGTCTCTCTTTCAGGATTAAACCCAGGGCCTTTTCATTGCGCTTCCATCCTCAGCCCTGGTTTATTGTTTATTTTGAGATAGAGTCTCACTCAGTTGCTTAGTTGCCTAGGGTGGGATCAACTTCAGGATCCTCCTTTCTAAACCTCCCAAGTGCTAGAATTTTAGGTTTGTGCCACCATTCTTGGCTCATTTATTTAAATATTTAAGACATTCTACTTGTAGTAATTATGTCATGCCAAATGAATAAACTTAATGATGATTGAAATGCACCCAAGGATGCTTACATTCCCAAGACATAAGAATGAAATCTGTTGTCATCCAAATCATCTTAAACTAATGAGGTCTTAAGATATTAATTCAATTTTATATTGAATTGCAAATAATTACAAAATGTTGTAATTAGTAAAATCTATGATTCAGTTATTTGTAAGGCATGATCAAAACTCAAGGTACTGCCTAATACATCACACTAGAAATATAGTTAGATTTTACTCAAAATTTCGATGAATATTAGAGCATTTTAATTCTAAGTGATTTAGAAAAAATGTTTCATATTATTATGATTTATAATGCATTATATATTATATTTACACACATATGCCACTTAAGTTCAGAGACAATAAACCCAAACTAAATAATAAAATTTGTAATGATAGTAATTGAATTGCCTCCAAAATTATTTATAAGAGAGCTAAATCAATGGATGTTTGCTTTTTAGCTAAAGCCAATAGAAAAATCAATGCTTTATTTTCCCTTTATGCTCTTCCTTTTCTTCATTAATTTCTTAAATTTCAAAATTCATCCAGCAGTAATCTTTAAAAGGAAAGTGGGAAAAAAAATCATGGTTTTACCTTCCAAGCTTCTTCTTCAACAATATTTCTTATTTTTCTTTTTTCTACTTTACCATGCTTTTGGATCTTTAAAACAAATTTTATTCACACTTACAGGGGAAAAAGAGAAGCTTCATAGTCTGAAATAGTTTGTCAGCAGATGTTATGAGACATAGAAAAATCTCAATAGGAAGAGAATACTGACCCTAAACTAGAAAACAGTATCCTAGCTTTTGGTGGGCCAACGACTTTGGACAAGATTCATGCATCAGCAGTGTCACACCCAGGAAAGGAGGACATCGTTTATTACTAATTGGAAATCTTGTTTTCAAATCATTCTTGGGTGATTTACATACAGAACCACACATCTATACAACTTTCAGTGAAATGTTAAGAAACTGGACAGGGGAGCTCTGTTTGGAAATGTGTAATTGACGTAGAGTCATCACTTGGAAGAAATATATCATGGTGAATGGTGGTGTGTATTTGTAGCCAAGAGTGGTAGACATGATCAAGAGTAGGGTTGCCTACTGCAAAACTCTTTTATAAGATAGAATTTTAAAAATGGCATCATTTTCCATTCCCCTGTTTTCTATCCTGTCTTAAATGCACTCCTCATGTGCACATCAGGAGCACCAGATTGTATAAGAGAATACTTACATTTTAATTAACTGGAGGAAGAATTAGAGTGCTGACTTTGATATTTTGCTTATTACAATAGTTGTGTTGTACTTCAGATAGCAGGAACCAAGTTCAGGTTCCATGTTTTCTCTGCATGAACATTACTGTGCTACGTTGCAGGTAAATGTACATGATGCTTTAACTTATGTGGCCACAATATTTAGATCCAAGGATCTAAATTTGCGTCTCATGCAAGCCTTGTTCTTTATTTGGATAATCATTTTTATAGTGCAAAAACTAGGTGTCCTTATGCTTTTTAAAAGTAATTGCTACACTATTTCAATAAGGATTTCTTTTTTCTTCAGGGTCGGTGTATAAACTTCTCCCGAGTTCCTTCTCAGTAAGAAGAAAGCAACAGGACCAAGATTATGGTATGAAAGTGCCACAGTTTCACACTGCTGATCTCCAAGCAAGTGAAAAAAGTCAAGCGCATTTCAAAAGCTCTTGAAAGTGCAGTTTCAATCCTCTCCATCAGGAACTGTTTTCTTTGCTTTCTGCTTTACTTGCACCATTTTCAAACACTTGTTCTGCCATCTACAAAGGAAGTGATGAAACTCAGTGGTAACTGATGATTCATGACATTGAAAATAAAGAGAAATGTTAATCTGCATGCTGACTTACACAAGCAAGTTTGTTTGAATGTCTAGAAAAAGAAAAGACGATGACACCAACATTATAAAGATGATATCAAGACAGAGACAACAAAACAAATGTTGGGTCATGGATGGAGATGAGAGTTTTTAATACAGAGATGTGGCAATTGTGTTTCTGTGTGGCGAGATCTTTAGCCATCGGCAGAGTATGAAAATTCCCACCAGGCTAAGAAAATAATGGAGTCTATTGCCTTATAGCTATGTCAGATCACAAATTCCTTCCAAGTCCCTGATCATAGTGTGCCTTACGGGAAGTTGCTGACTAGAAAATCTTGTCATTCTAACACTGAGAAGCGCACACGCATGACAAAATGTAGACAGGATGCCCCAAGGTATTGGTAGCGAGAAAGATTTTGCCCTTTAGTTTTTGAAGACACCTTTCTTTCATTATGCACTTGGGACAAGAAAATTAATAGAGCATTATTCCACAGGAAGACAGCCTCTAACCAAAGATCTGGAGTGGAGTTTAAGGGACTCATGATTTGAGACCTTGCCCGTGAGTCTGATAGGTTTCCTCTCTTCACCTGTGTTCAGGATGTGGTAGTGCGTAAAGCATTAGTATCTGTAAACACACCGAGGAGTTTGTTTTGCTTTTAATTTAAAGGAAGCAGTAACCACAAAGCTTCCGCTCAGGGTTTTTTTCTTCCTTCGAATCTCCAAGGGCTCTTCAGCGTCACAAGCCAGCAACTCTCTTTGCATGAAAATTTCAAAGTTTAATTAATATAATTAAAGGCAACAGCAAGCAGCAGCCTGTGAAGATTTTGCTCATCTTTTTTATGCCTTTTGACATTGAATGACCTATTACTGTATGCGCATTACTTGGATTTTGAAGACTCTACCTTGGGTCTGATTCAATACAGCAAAAAGGACTCTTTTCTTCAGTTTATAAATTAAATTTCCAGGAGGGTCACCATCAAAAACCATTGACAATGTATATATTATAATTTTTTAGAAAAACCACCATCGTGTCACGTCGACGATGCCAAATTATGTTAGCATGAGCTGAAGCACTGTAGGGGAGGAAGAAGGCAGCAGCTGAAGAAAACAGCTCAAATGATCTAGTCACTTTCGATACTGTACTTCAGATGCGAAATGGATATTCGACTCGAAACCTGACAAAGCATGCCTGCTTTGATGGGAACTGGTATAGACAATGACCAGTGGCTGGGTCAGTGGGATGTCTCTCTGCGAGCACAAAGGCTTATCAAATGACACTAAAAATAAGTTCAACAACCATCACAATGGGAGGAAAAAGATGAACATTTCATGTTTGGTGAGCATGTGAGTGCACAAGATGGAAAGAACGATTTGGATCATCCTGGTATAATTACACTCATTGTGTGCTCCTAATGGAAATTTCAAAGGACGGGAGTGATTCTCTTGGTTGGTGTCCAGGTTTCTGACTCTGCTCCAAGAAGCCTTATGCATACACACACACACACACACACACACACACACACACACACACGTATATTCTCTAGCTTGAATCTTTGCTCAAGTTTATTTATGTCACTGGCTGGCTGGATCCAACGTGATGTGTCCACATATCCATAAATAAAATTTTTACCTGAGCTTTTGGTATTATTTTCTTTTAAGTTCACAGAAAGTTCATGCTTTCTTTGACTGACTATTCCATTGTCCTGGTTAGTTTGGAGAATGGAGTAAACAACAAGCAAACAACATGTTCACAGATGACACTATTGGCAGAATCTATGTAAGCAGGTACAACATGGCAGCCTGATAGAGTACCCACAACCCTTTATGCAATGAGTTCTTGTAGGCATTTGTTCTACATTTGTGTCTGGAGCAGGATCTATTGCTACTTTTTTAAATGAGCAGAGCATTTCTGATTAGTACATACCCAATAACATCATTTTAAGAGCATCAAAGATAGTATGAAAAGCAAGGCTGTGTTTCCTTGGTAGCTACTGTAAATTTCTCAAGAATCATATAGCACATTTGTACTTTGCTACATAAGCAATGTAAATTAACCTCTGCCTTTAAATGGCAAAATAACCCTTAAGATTTGTAATGCAAATTACAAATAAAAATAATAAACTCAATGAAGAAAGAGATCGTATTAATCTACATATATACTAGAAAAATGCCATTCATAAAGTTCAACCACAGATGGAATTTCATTGCCCTTAGAGATATGAACCAGATCAACTTTGTGCTCTTCTCTGATTATTCTAACAAGCAAATAAAAAATTTCTTTTAAAAGAATAGTTTTCTTATCCAAAGATTAGATTAAAAATTTCTGTACCTTTCAACCAGGAAAATAGATAAATATAAAGCATTTGTCTATAAGTTCTGTGACACTATGTATAGAGAGAAATAGATTCTATGCAATTTTCTGGACATAATGTCAGTGTAGATCTCCTTTCTGTGTGTAAATGAGTAAGTCTTATCCATCACCCATTTGTGTTGCATAAGGTTGCAAAAACAATTAAGTGGGAAATGACTCCTAACTTATGTGTCTATTCTGCCTAGAAAGAAAGTTTTGAAGGCATCTATATATATTTCATAACAATGTCTGTTCTTTATGGATTTGATCCATAAATATTTATCTATCTGAAAACTTTGATACTTGGAATGTTTTCCTTAAAGCATTTGGTGCTCCCAGAAAAAACATTTGGTGCTAAGAGTTGCAGCACTGATGCCTTTCCCAAAGTTAATTCTATTTTAAAAATTTGTATTTCCTTCCCAATGAGATGCAGAGTAAAATTTGAGACTCTCCATTGACTAGGGAGCAGCATCTGTCACCCATGGTGAATTACTACTTTGACAAAAATATATAAGATTTAAAACCCCCTATATGTCAGACTGTTAGAAAGAGAAGTGCTTTGCTTATAATTCTCTTGATCTTTAACCATTCAATTAATAAATTATTCACTGTTTAGTTTTATAATAAATCCTACTGAATACAAGATCTAGGTGTCTCTAAAAGCTTTATTATCTGAGAATTACTGTTTATCGTTGGAAAGTGCATTTATTATGTTTAAAACAGAATATATACTACGGTTAACAGTGTTTAAGTCACTTGTTATCAGACTGCATGTATTATTTTTGAAATCTAAGAAGACAACTTAGAAATTCAAGTATTACAAAGCATTTTAACTTTTTCCATATATATACTGTATTTAGATATACTGTATTTTGCTAGATTTATATAGCATATATTTTATGAGGTCTATTAGAATTTCTTTGCTACTGGAAAATTTTAGCAGATATGTATGCACCAGAGAGAAATGTATATATTTTTTATATTTTAATATGAAAAGATATATAATTTATAAACAGAAAAACTGTCTCATGTGGTTACACAGTTTCAGAAACAAATGGGCAGATGAGGCTAAAGATACTGCCTATTTATAGAGTCACTGTGTATTCTAGGCTAGGAGTTAGATTAATACTGTGTTCAGTGAATTTTTATGACACATTCCTGAGAACACTTTAATTTTAGCACATTTCTGCTACTAAACAATTCAGCCAATTGGATAAAAGAAAGAACTTTTTGTGAAAACTCACAATGTAGCAGGCACTATTTTACTGTTTTAATTTGTGTTCTTTTGCCAAAAGGAATGGCTGATAAAAAACCATGCAACATAACATATTAATTAATATAAAATATTAATGTTCAAATTGCTTAGAAATCAGACAGTGGAAGTCCTAGACTGCAGATTTAGCCACCAGCTAATGTGCTAAGATTCAACAGATCAACTTCTCAGTCAAGGACTGGAGATAAACCAAAGGCACCTAAAATCCCTTCCCACTGTGACTACATTTCTATTAATATGGTTATACTGGAGGTTTTACTGTTTATGTATTGCCTTTAAAGACTGGCTTGTTGGGCTGGGGATTTAGCTCAGCAGCATGAGCACCTGCTTTGCAAGTGTGTGGTCATGAGTTCAATCCCCAGTACCACAAAAAAAAAAACAAAAAACAAAAAACAAAAAAACAAAAACAAAAAACAGACTGGCTTGTTTGCCCATAAAGTATGGTAGTTAGCATTAGTCAAAATCTGTAGTAAATTAGCATCCTACTGTGCTCTTCATGTAGAATAGTAGAATACTGTGAAAATAAGAATTCAAATTTTTGTCCCTACTTACTATAAAGTTGTTCATCTCTTAGGTTAATTATATGTGCAAAGTTGTAAATGTAATGCTAATCGGAAGTAAATTGTGAAAGTTATTAAATCATGCATGTAAGTAGATTTAATTGAATTAGCAATATTTGGAAAGAACCAAATGTTACCGTGTAGACTATTAAAAAGATATACATTGCCATCATGAGCTAAAAGGCAAAGTGATTTTAAACAATTTCAATGTAAATTGAAGAAACTGAATGTTTCCAAAACCATAAAGAGAAAGGAAATAGTTACATCATGTGCTAAATTAGAAGCAAATCTAACCCTCTTGGCATACTGAAGTGCTCTACCATCTGATTTGTATAAGTAATTGGGGAAAGAAAAACTATATATAAAACAGAATTGACTAGTTCTAGCAGATGACACCTGTGAATAGAATTTTTACCAGTTGAAATTCTGATGTGAAAGAAAACTATTACCATCATCACACTGAAGTGTTCCTTTGAGTTCTTTTGTTTCAAACATCCTTTAACCGTCTGTGTTAACTAAGTAGAGCAGTGGCCAACCTTCGTCTTCTTTAAATAGTTTGTGTGAGACTGTCACACAAAACGATTATCTTTTAAACAATATGTTCAAGTGTAAAAGTTCTTAACAAATTCTTCGTGTTTTTAAAATAGGGGACAATTTCAGGACCTCTATAATTGTCATGGGGATCTTTATAAGGACCTAGATATTTCAGAAACTTTGAAAGGATGTTAAATATTTTTTTTAAATTATACCTGATAAGAAATTATGACCTGGGCTATTCAGTGTACGTTTTATTGTTTTGAGGGATAATGGTATTATTGAAAAATATTATAATACAATACTAAATAGTGAAAGGAAAGATCCAGTATTATTAATGCTTATTCAGTATCTCTGTAAATGTTGCATTGCCCAGAAATCACTGAAATGACATATTTATAAGCTTAAATCAATTATTTTAAAAATTCTAATTCAAACTAAAAAGAAAAGCTTATTTAAAGGAATTTAAAAATCAAATTTATTCAGAAATAATATATTCCTTATATTATTAAATGATATCATTTTGCTTTAAAAATTTCCCTTAACTCTCTAAAAATCATTCTGATAAAATTTAAGTCATGGCTATTATTACATGTTTACAATTTTTAACTTTGAAAAACACTTTCAGTATCCACTAAAGTGTGAAGAGAGGGGCTGTACTAGTTTCCTCTTACTGCTGTAACAGATTACCAAATACTTATGACTTAAAAACTTTGAAAAGATTTTCTCTTACAGTTCTGGACAATACACATGAAAAGCCAGGTTCAGGAAGGTAAGTTTAAGGTTTTAGTCGGGTTGTTTCCTGCTGGCACCTCTAAGATAGCTCATTTCCTGCCTTGATTCTTTGATTTGTGACTCCTGTCTGTTCTCAGAGTGTTCCTACCACCTCTACATCAGTCATTGTGTCACTTATCTCTCTGATCTGCCTCCTCATCTGTGCCAATAATAGGTTCCCCGTGATGATCTTTTGTAACCTCCTTCTATCAAAGTCCATCAGAGAATCTCACCTGCAGAGTCCCTTTTGCCATATAAAGTAAGAATCACAGGTCCTAGAGATGAGATCATAGACAGCTTGGAGGCACATTATTCAGCTCATTGCAAAGCTTCTAGTAACTTTGCTTTTATTAAATTGTTTTCTTGTACCCAAAGCCATAAGAAAATACACAAGATGAGTTCTACTTTCCACATTAGATCTTTATTTGTCCAGATTCTTTAGACTTGTCATACCCATGGTGATTTTTTTGCAGGAAAGGATCCTCATTTTTCCTTGTTGTACTATGTTATAGTTTGCTTTAGATTGCTCAAGAGGAAAAATACTAGTGGATAACTTCTTAAAATGTTTCCACAAGATGAAAACCTGCACATGTCTGAGAAGCATGTGGGCAGGGTTTATTGACTCTGAAGAATTTGCTTTGCCTGTCTGCATAGGCCCAGAAATTACCTTATTGCCAGTCCCTGTCATATGCTCTCTTGTTACTGTGAAAATGTTTTAGGAAGTTATTAAAATAACATCAGAGACAAAGGACAAAAATAAGCTGATATTCTAATAGTAACAGCAGCAGACATATGAATCTTAAGGAGAAGCTGTCCCAACCTGTAAATGTTTTCCAGAATTAAAAATGATTTTGAAAGGAACATTAAAAGTAATATCTATATCAAATATTGTTCACGCAGTGATCGTGAACATTAGAAACTTGATTAACTGTAAAATGATAAAAGGCATCAGATTCTCTAGAAAAAATGTACCTAAATAAAAATATTGTGTCATAAACTTTGAGTTCTTAGCAACAAATTATTAAATTCCATAAAGCAAGAGTAGTTTTAATGTCTCATATTTTATATACCCACATGCATATACACATACTTTTCTTAAAGTACATTTACATTTCAGAAATGATATGAAGATCTCATGCTATT